TTAAGTCATCACTTGCCTCGAGATACACTACAGCGTTGAAACTCCACGCCAGCCCAGCTCCGTAACCAGATTAGGAGCTTGCGGGCCGTCTTCTTGCGCGACTCGAGGCGTTTTCGCGAGCTCGCATCCTCTTCTGGAGAAGCCCGCGGTTTTTCGTCATCTTTTCCGGTCAAAGTCATTCCCTAACGACCGCTCCAGTTATGGCGGCGACGAGTCGCGTGGTACCGATCCAGTGCGCGTCTTCGCTACAGGCGAGATCGACCCTCGGCCGGCAACGGACGACAGCGTCCGTCTCGCCGTCCAATGCGGGCAGCAAGTCACGCGTGCGAAGCATTCAGGTCGGCCCGCGTCGCTGTTCGCTATCTTTAATCTCCGCTTACAAATAGGTGCGATCAGTATGATGCGCTGCGTGGTTGTCAGATTGATGCGCCGGCAGAGCGTGCGCCGGCAGCGCGTCAAGTCGACCAGAGATAGTCGCAGCACGCAATGCGGCGGTATAACCCAACCCTTCCTTCCTGCTTCCCCTCCCAACCCCCCTCAACCCGCTCTTCTCCGCCGCACCCGCGCCAGCCTGGCCTCGCGCGAATTAGCGGGGCACGGATAGCCCCTGGGCGGACATCCGCGCACAGAACAGCTGCCCCATCCGCGGAGGCGGGTTGGCGCGGGGGGCTGGTAGTGGTGCGCGCGGTGGGGGATCACCTGCTAGCGCCGCTGCCATACCAGCTGGTATTTTTCCGCTAAAACCCAGGACCCTATTTCCATCTGGGTTTTCCAGGTCCTAAACCCTGAACCCTGCACTCTCCCCTTTCAGATGGATTTGATTCCCTTAGCCCCGAATTCCGAATGCCCGCAGCTCCCTTTCCCGACCTTCTGGAGCCTCGTTTCTGTTTGCCACAATCTATTGCCAATCTGTTTGCGATGATCTATACATCCCCTTCCCCATCCCCCTGGCATCCTCTTCTCCATGCTCATCATCATCGTGCATCACGCCCCCCCTCCCTCCCTTGCTCACCCACCCTTGTACTTCTCCTTCTCCACCCTCCCTCTCCCCCCCCCCCCACCCCGCGCCGCCCCCTGCTTTTGTCTTTGCCCAGGACGCCTTAGAGCCGCACATCTCACGCTCGTCGCTCGAAGCCCACTGGTCGGGCCACCACGGGCGCCAGCTGGCGGCGCTGAACCGCCAGCTGGATGCTGACCTGGCGCTGAAGCGGCTGCCGCTGGAGGAGCTGGTGAAGGTGGCTTATAACGGGGGGAACCCCCTTCCCTGCTTCAACCTGGCTGCTGAGGTGAGGAGAGATGTGCTTGTAACGAACGAGGTGCTGCAGAGATTTGATGGGCTTACAGCGTGTGTGTAAAGTTGGTCTTTCATGCCACCACAAACACGGTTTAAGTCTCTCCCTCTGTGCCTCTCGCTTTCTCCCCCTGCATCCCCCCTCTCCCCCCCACAGGTGTGGAACCACAAGTTCCTCCCCCCATCTCCCTTCATTCTCCCCTACTCTCTCCTCCCTCGCCCCCCTCAGCTGTGGAGCCACGAGTGCCTCTTCTCGGCCATGCAGCCGGCAGACGAGGCGGAGGGGAGGGAGGGGGGCAACCGGTCGGAGGGGGAGGTGCTGCGACTGATCTTCCTCCCCCCATCTCCTTCATTCTCCCCTACTCTCTCCTCCCTCTCCCCCCCTCTCTCTCCTCCCTCTCCCCCCTTCTCTCTCCTCCCTCTCCCCACCTCTCTCCTCCCTCTCTCCCCCTCAGGCGTGGAGCCACGAGTTCTTCTTTTCTGGTATGCAGCCGGCAGACGAGGCGGAGGGGAGGGAGGAGGGCAACCGGCCGGATGGGGAGGTGCTGCGGCTGGTGGAGCGGGACTTTGGGTCGTTTGAGGGGTTTGAGAGGGAGTTCCGACAGGCGTGTGCTTCTTCGTTTGGCTCGGGATACGTGTGGCTCTCAGGTCGGTCGGTCGGTTGGTCGGTTGGTCACACACGAGGAATATTCTTCCTCCTGTCCTCTGTCTCCCATCGCTCTCTTCTCACGCACTGCGCCATGTCTTCCATTTGCACACACACGGCTCTCTTCTTCTCTATTCCTTCCCGTCTTCCTCCTCCCCCCCCCCCCCCGGTCGCCAGCCAAGGTGGGATCAGCGGTTCCTGAGGAGTGGCTCGTGCTTAGGCCCCTCAGCATGCCTTCTCACTCACCTCCTCTCCTCGCCTTCCCCCCTCCCCCTCCTCTCCTCCCGGGTCGCCAGCCAAGGTGGACACAGTGGTTCCCGAGGAGTGGCTTGCAGACATGCGAGGTGGGATGGGGTGGGAGGAGGGTTGAGGAGGGGGGAGGGATGGGGTGGGGGGAGGGATGGGGTGGGGGAAGGGATGGGGTGGGGGGAGGGATGGGGTGGGGGGAGGGATGGGGTGGGGGGAGGGATGGGGTGGGGGAGGGATGGGGTGGGGGAGGGTTGAGGAGGGGGAGGGATGAGGTGAGGGGGGAGGTATGAGGTGGGGGAGGGGGGGGATGAGGTGGGGGAGGGGTGAAGTGGGGGAGGGGTGAGGTGGGGGAAGGGATGAGGTGGGGAAGGGTGAGGTGGGGGAAGGGGTGATGTGGGGGGAGGTTGAGGTGGGGGGAGGGGTTGAGGTGTTACATGCGTGGTTAATTTACCCACCATGCCAGGTGAAGGGTTTGATCACATGCAGTGGCTGCATGAGGTGATCGTGTGTTTGGTGCTAGCTGCATTTGAAGCTGGCATGTGATTAGCAGTCTGGTAATGAATATACGAGAGGGCTGAATATACGCAGCAGCTGCGTTGTAGAACGTTGAAGGAAACTTTGGAGGAGACAGACAGGGCATTCTTCATCCTCTTCATTGAAAGTTGCATGAAACGTCTTTATTTTATCCCAGTCACGTCTCCTCCCTCTCTTTAATCTCCCTTTCTATTTCCTTTATCTCGCCCAGTGCCCAACGCCTATCGTCTGCAGGTGGCTCACTTACGAGTCGAGAGCACGGTGAATGCTTTCAACCCGATTGTCTTCGATCGCATTGTAAGCTAAGTTGGAATATTCGCGTATCGCGTTTTGTACGAGAGCGTTAATACGCAATACTCCAGAATGGAGGGGGTCGGAAACGCATGGAATACGGTGGTCTGGGCAACTTTTCCGGGCAGGCAAAAATTGGGGTTAAGTGGTGGGGAAGGCAGGGAAGGGGGGGGGTAAAATGGCGGTAATTTATGCTTGGGAAGCTGGCTCTGTTTGATGCCAACCCCTCTCAAGGATGAGTTGGGAGGGGTTGAGAAGTGACGGGGTGGTGAGGGGTGGGAATGGGTCAAAGGGGGGGGGGGTTTGGTGAGCTTCGGGTTGGAAATTCAAAACTCAAATTTGAGTTCGCAATGTGCGAAGGCGAAATTTTGGTTCGCAATGTCGCAAAGCGTTGGCAAATTTTTGGTTTTTTTCCGGGCAGCCTGAGCGTATTTCGGCGTATCTACACCAAAAACGCAGCGTTCGTATTTCTTATGCGTTTAAACGCTATACGCAATCTAAGTTGAGAGTTTTTTCCAACTTAGATTGTAAGTACCTCGATGATTTTTCCCCTTCAGAAAACGTATTTGCGTTTCTTTCTCTTTTCTTTGCTTGTACGAATGCCCTCAATATATACCACCTGCATTTATGACTTGTGGAGAGTACTCCGACAAATCATCTCACTTTCGTCCCTCCCCCACCCGCCTCCCACCCTCCCACCCTTCTCTCCCATTCTTGCTCTCCTGCTCTCTCCCCGTACCCTCTGCCCCCCTCCTCCCCCTTCTCCTTCACTCATCCACTCTCTGTCTTGCCTGCCACTCCTCTCCCTCCCGTAATTTCTTGTGGTGCCCACGCTTGCAGCCTCTGGCAGTGATCGACTTGTGGGAGGTACGGTCGTTGCCTTCTTTAATGTCGCCCGTGGTGGTTGAGCGTGGCTGGTGGTTGCTTATTGACAGTGGGTGATGCCCGGTCGTGTTGGATGCGTGATGATGGATTGTAGCAGATGAGTGATTACTCTGCAGGAGGTGGGATCCATTTCCTATGCCATGTCCTGTGCCATCCATGTCCTACGCCATGTCCTATGTCATGTCCTCGTCCTTGATCATGCCCTCTGTCATTGTTCCTTTCCTCCTCTTCCCCCTCTCTTCTCACTCACTCCCCTTCTCCCCCGTCATTCTACCCCCGTCCTACCTCCTCCCAGCATGCCTACCTCTCAGACTATCCCGATAGCAGGTCAGCTTATATCGAGGCGTTCCTGCAGCACCTGCTGTCGTGGGACGCAGTGGCGGCGCGCGTGGAGAGAGCCAAGTCGCTCACCAACTTCTGGGAAATGCCCGCTCCGCCCGATGCCTTCATCCGCCCAGGGTTCGTTGCTGACCGTCCGATTCCCCTCGACGCTCTCAAAGGCATCAAGTGACCGCTACTGGTAGTTGTGGCAATCATGATAGACATTGGCAAAGTTATGCATATGATTGAACCGGGATGTATTTGTAGTATTGTCGGTGTCAGTAAATAAATCTTCCAATTATTGACGAAGTGTGATGTCGACCACTTTGCATGGTGGAATGGAAGGTTGAAGAGTTCATCAATTACCTCTCGAATTCTCTCTGTTTTCATGGTGAAAAACTTGCGATACCACTTCTCTAGGATAACAGCATAGGTAACTCGCAATCTTACCGGTAGGTGATGTAGTAAATTTCACGAGTGACTTATGACGCTAAAACTTGATAATTCCTCTTTGTGTTACATCCAGTGTTCTTGTAGCAAATCTGTCCCGCCAGATTATCGCAGGAATTTCCTCGTCACAGAATTCGACATCAGCACCAAGCTTGTGCCAGAAACAGCTGAGGATGGCACCCCTGCGGGAGATAGCTGAGACCTTGTGCGGTGGAGAGCGTTTCCGCGCACATCTTCGCGTTTCTGTGCTCTGTAATCAGGTTCTATGGGGTGGCGCCATGTCAAGGTCCCTTCACATGGGACGACACTATTTTTGGCCAAGTAGAATCCGCAACAAGAATAGGATTACTACCGCAGAATCCGACGCCCTTACCTCGTCCTCTTCTCACCACATCGTCCCTCACCTAGTAGATTCCACGACCTACGTCACTCCATCACTCTTCTCCCGGCTGTTCTGGTCAGAATCCTCAGCGTCGCGCTAGTGGTGGCCATACATCCATCATTGTTTGACACATATACGTTCTTATCATCCGCAGTATACTCCTCCCTCCGCGGCTCCTCCTCCTCCTCCTCCTCGCTCTCTCGAGGCCCTACACTTGTTTCGTCCCTCTTTCCCTCTGTGCTCTCCGTCGTTACCAGGTAATGAAGGAGCAGCAGACCCAGCAGCCGCAAATGTCGCAGCAGCAGTCGCAGATGTCGCAGCCGTCGCAGCAGCTGTCGCAGCAGCAGATGCAGGAGCAGCTTCAGGCGGCGCTAGACCGCCTCCTATTGGCCAACGACCCCGCGGCGGGTCAATGGCTCGGCGCGTTTCAGCAGTCGCAGGAGGCCTGGCAGGTCACGCATTCCATCCTCGCTAGTGCCGCCTCGTTACTAGCATCATCCTCCTCTTCGCAACCGCCACAGGGAATGTCGCCGTCTGCCAATGCGTTGATCTTATTCGCCGCACAGACGCTACGGTCCAAGGTTCAGCTACAGCTGTCCGCTCTTGATTCGTCAGCGCGAGCCGCACTGCTGTCTGCTCTGTTCTCCCTCTTCCAATCGTTCTGCTGCGCCCCCAATCAGCATCAGGTAACCACGACATCAATTATCATCTGGTAACCACATGAATGTCACCAGGTAACCACATCAAATCATCAGGTAACCACATGAATGAGTATCAGGTAACCACATCAATGATCATCAGGTAACCACACAAATGAGCACCAGGTAACCACACAAATGAGCACCAGGTAACGACCCCAATGTTCATCTGGTAACGACCCACAGTATCCATCCCAATCAGCATCAAGGGAGCGACCAGCTAGCATATGCTACCCACTGAACCAGCCGCATCATAGTCCTCCCCTTCTCCCCTCCCGCCCCCAAGCGCTCGAACCCACCCTCTTACCTGCCCACCTCACCCTCCTTCCCACCCCCCCCAACCACCCCCGGCATTCACCTGCCCTCTCCAGACGTCGGGCTACTCGCTGACGGAGCAACCAGCTAGCATATGCTACCCACTGAACCAGCTGCATCATAGTCCTCCCCTTCTCCCCTCCCGCCCCCTCCCACGGCCTCGTAGGTTGTGCTCCAAATCTGTGCGCCCATCTCAGTGCCACTCCGCATGCTCTTTCTCCCCCCCCACCTGCAATCCCCCTTTTCCCGTTTCTCTTTCCCCTTTCCCCTTTCCCCTTTCCCCTTTCCCCTTTCCCCTTCCCCTTTCTCCTTTCCCCTTTCCCCTTCCCCCTTTCCCCTTTCCTCTGCACTCTATCTGCCCCCCATCCCCGCGCCTCCGCAGGTTCTCCTTCAAATCTGTGCGTCCATCTCAGCGCTGCTCCTCCAATCGCCAGGCACAGCTGCTGACCTGGAGGCCAGGCTGGCAGCTGCCATGTCAGCAGCAGAGGGTGGAGGGGGAGGGGGGGGCGTGGGGGGGGTGTTGGGGGGGGTGGTGGAACTGTTGGGGGCGGTGGGGGATGAGTGCACGGACGAGCAGCGGTGGTCCGTGGGGGTGGTGACCCTGCAGCGGAAGCATGTCTTTTGCCTGGAGGTGACTCGCGATGGAGGGGGGGGGTGGGAGGGGTGTGGGGAGGTGAAGAGTGAGGGAGCGAGGGGGGGATAGGGGAGAAGAGAGAGGGCGCGAGTGACTGCAGCGGAAGCACTTATGTGCACTTATGTTGTGTGGGGGTGATTCGAGGCCAGGGCGGCGGGTGATATTTGACACGCATTGATCCTCCTTTCCTCACCATCGCCTCCCTTTTGTCTTGTCCCTTCTCCTCGATCTCACCCTTTCTTCCTCTTGCCCCACCCTCCCATTCCCTTGCTCCTTCTACCCCCCCACCCCCCCCCCGCTCCCCCGCCATCCTTCCCCCATTTTCCCCATCCCCCCTCGTTTACAGCTCCTCTCCCACAGTAAATTCGTGGCCCTTCTTCTTCAGAGAGCCTCCTCATTGTCACTCTCTGCACTGTCACAGTCGCAAACAACACCTGCATCAGCAGCATCAGGGCCAGTGGCAGCTGTGGACCCTTCTGCCGCACTCAGCCTCTTGCACAAGACGCTCCGGTGCCTCTTCGCATGGGTACACGCGTGAAGCATGCCAGCTGTGTGTCATGGGTAGGGTAGGGCGTGGCAGGGTCGCTTGCGCAAGGCGCCTCATCGTTTTTTAGAGCATGCCAGCTGTCATGGGTCGGCGTGAAGCATGCCAGCTGTCATGGGTTGGTTGGCATTCGACCTAGTCCTGTCTCGGCATGTTTAGCTCGGCAAAGGAACAAGTTTCAATTCAATCCCCCCTATCATGCCAATCTCCTTTCCCCTAATCTCTGGAGGCCCTTATGCACCCGAATTGCATTTGAGTCGACTCAAAAGCAGAACAAGTTTCAATCCCCCTATCATGCCAATCTCCTTTCCCGGTATTGCCGAAGCCCCTCATACATCCGTTCTGCAAGCTTCTCGTCTTCCTTCTTCCTCCCCCGAACTCTTGTGCTTGCCTGAAGGTGCGGATAGGTTTCCTAACGGACCTACTAGCAGCTGACACGTGGCAGTCACATGTGCTGCCATTGGTGGAGCTGGCTGTTGACTCGCTCCAGGTAGGAAGGAACACTACCTGGTCTGTGCGTGCAAAACTTTGTCTGGCTTCCTTTCTGGCTTTATTGTCCGTTTCTAATGTTTTCCTTCTCAAGCTCCTTCATGTCCGCTTCCCCCCAACCCGCCTCCATCCCGTGGCGTGCAACATTCCTAAACATGGCACGCATTGCATGCACCAGGAGCCTTGTCTGTGTGAGGTGGCAGCAGAGGTGGTGGGCGAAATGGCGAGCAGACACGAGGTGAGGGATGGGTGAGGTATGGGGTGAGGCATGGGGTGAGGTATGGGGTGAGGCATGAGGTGAGGTATGGGGTGAGGCATGGGGTGAGGTATGGGGTGAGGCATGGGGTGAGGTATGGGGTGAGGCATGGGGTGAGGCATGGGGTGAGGCATGGGGTGAGGCATGGGGTGAGGCATGGGGTGGGGCATGGTGTGAGGCATGGGGTGAGGCATGGGGTGAGGCACGGGGTGAGGCATGGGGTGAGGCATGGGGTGAGGCATGGGGTGAGGCATGGGGTGGGGCATGGGGTGAGGCATGGGGTGGGGCATGGGGTGAGGCATGGGGTGGGGCATGGGGTGAGGCATGGGGTGAGGCATGGGGTGAGGCATGGGGTGAGGCATGGGGTGGGGCATGGGGTGAGGCATGGGGTGGGGCATGGGGTGAGGCATGGGTTGAGGCATGGGGTGAGGCATGGGGTGAGGCATGGGGTGGGGCATGGGGTGAGGCATGGGGTGGGGCATGGTGTGAGGCATGGTGTGAGGCATGGGGTGAGGCATGGTGTGAGGCATGGGGTGAGGCATGGGGTGAGGCACGGGGTGAGGCATGGGGTGAGGCATGGGGTGAGGCATGGGGTGAGGCATGGGGTGAGGCATGGGTTGGGGCATGGTGTGAGGCATGGTATGAGGCATGGGGTGAGGCATGGGATGAGGCATGGGTTGAGGCATGGGGTGAGGCATGGGGTGAGGCATGGGGTGGGGCATGGGGTGAGGCATGGGGTGGGGCATGGGGTGAGGCATGGGGTGGGGCATGGTGTGAGGCATGGTGTGAGGCATGGGGTGAGGGATGGGTGAGGTATGGGGTGAGGCATGGGGTGAGGTATGGGGTGAGGCATGGGGTGAGGTATGGGGTGAGGCATGGGGTGAGGCATGGGGTGAGGCATGGGGTGAGGCATGGGGTGAGGCATGGGGTGGGGCATGGTGTGAGGCATGGGGTGAGGCATGGGGTGAGGCACGGGGTGAGGCATGGGGTGAGGCATGGGGTGAGGCATGGGGTGAGGCATGGGGTGAGGCATGGGGTGGGGCATGGGGTGAGGCATGGGGTGGGGCATGGGGTGAGGCATGGGGTGGGGCATGGGGTGAGGCATGGGGTGAGGCATGGGGTGAGGCATGGGGTGGGGCATGGTGTGAGGCATGGGGTGAGGCATGGGGTGAGGCATGGGGTGAGGCATGGGTTGAGGCATGGGGTGAGGCATGGGGTGAGGCATGGGGTGGGGCATGGGGTGAGGCATGGGGTGGGGCATGGGGTGAGGCATGGGGTGAGGCATGGTGTGAGGCATGGTGTGAGGCATGGGGTGAGGCATGGGATGAGGCATGGGGTGAGGCATGGGGTGAGGCATGGGGTGAGGCAAGGGGTGAGGCATGGAGTGAGGCATGGGGTGAGGCATGGGGTGAGGCATGGGGTGAGGCATGGTGTGAGGCATGGGGTGAGGCATGGGGTGAGACATGGATTGAGGCATGGGGTGAGGCATGGGGTGAGGCATGGGGTGAGGCATGGGGTGGGGCATGGGGTTTGGCATGGGGTGGGCATGGGGTGAGGCATGGGGTGAGGCATGGGTTGAGGCATGGGGTGAGGCATGGGATGAGGCATGGGTTGAGGCATGGGGTGAGGCATGGGGTGAGGCATGGGGTGGGGCATGGGGTGAGGCATGGGGTGGGGCATGGGGTGAGGCATGGGGTGAGGCATGGTGTGAGGCATGGTGTGAGGCATGGGGTGAGGCATGGGATGAGGCATGGGGTGAGGCATGGGGTGAGGCATGGGGTGAGGCAAGGGGTGAGGCATGGAGTGAGGCATGGGGTGAGGCATGGGGTGAGGCATGGGGTGAGGCATGGTGTGAGGCATGGGGTGAGGCATGGGGTGAGACATGGATTGAGGCATGGGGTGAGGCATGGGGTGAGGCATGGGGTGAGGCATGGGGTGGGGCATGGGGTTTGGCATGGGGTGGGGCATGGGGTGAGGCATGGGGTGAGGCATGGGTTGAGGCATGGGGTGAGGCATGGGGTGAGGCATGGGGTGAGGCATGGGGTGAGGCATGGGTGATGGTATGGGGCTGTGTTCTCCCACTCGCAGTGCACTGTTTCCTCTGTTCAAAACACTGTCCACCTGTGTTCTGGGGCATTCCCAGTGTTGTTAGCCATGATAGAAGGGAGCAGCAGTGTAATCGAGACGTTTAGCAAAAAGATTGACAGTGAAAAACACAAATTGCCCGTGTAATAGCCGAGATCTCAGAAAACTGAACTCAGTTCCGATTCAAAAGATTAAAGCAAACATGTTTCGACGTCTAAGGTAAAGACCCTAGAACATCTTCATCAGTGCAGAATGGAACTATGCAAGTGAGTAAGAGAGGCTCTTAAGCAAGAAACCCCTCGACAGTACCAAAATCTAGGCATGTAACAACCAAGGCTGATATCTGGGCAGCCAATCCTGAACACCCTGGAAAATTCCTGGGGTCAAGTCTTCAGTCCTCGAGGTGATGTCGTGTAAATGTCACAGTTCGCCAACTGGTAGCTTCAGGAGCCTCGCGCGCACAAGTCACTTTTGAATGTTACGCCCAGCTTTCCATGCAACAAAAATCCTCTGTATAAAAACCGTGTGATAGGAGTCTAGTTTTAAGGCGCCTCAAAACTCCACTCGCAGTGCACTGTTTCCTCTGTTCAAAACACTGTCCACCTGTGTTTGGGGCATTCCCAATTTCATCCCAAACGCGACCCTCCTTGTCCCCTGACACTTGTTCCCCCTCCTCACGCCCTCCAGCCCCTACTCCCCGCCATCACCCCGCGTCTCCTCTCCTGCTTCTCTCAAGCCGCCGCCGCCCACCCCGACGCCTTCCCTCCCCTCGCCTCCGCTGCCTCTAACCCATCCTCATCAGCAGCTGGGGTCTCTGGAAGTGGGGGCAGCAGCAGCAGCGGGGTGGATGAGGAGGAGAGGGAGCGGCTGGTGGCTGCCTTCGCTTCTGCCATCGCAGATGTTGGACTGGCGGTGAGTGCAATCAAGGGCAAGGTAGGGGAAAGGGTGGGGGGGAGTGGGAGGGGTTTTTGAGGCAGCAGCAGCGGGGTGGATGAGGAGGAAAGGGAGCGGGTGGTGGCTGCCTTTGCCTCTGCCATTGCAGATGTTGGGTTGGCTGTGAGTGCTGGAAAGGGGAATTTTGGGGAAGGGGCTCGATAGAAAGAGGGGAGTCGATAGGTGTAGGGGAGAAGGGTTCTCAAGGATTGGGTAGGAGGCAGTGGGGTCAAGAATCCATGGTTAATACGCGAGGTCGAGTTTTGAGGCGCCTCAAATCAAGAATAAATGGTTAATACGCGAGGTCGTGAGATGGAGGAAGGTGAGATGGTGGCTGGTGGTGCTGATATCCGGAAAGGGGATCGCAAACTGCCTGGACTGGCCCCTTGCGTTTTTCTTCCACTCTCCCTCGTCGACCTGCCTTGTGGATGGAAGGTTCACAAGTAACTTTTGAGTCGGCTCAAAAGTCACCAGGTTCACAAATGTCTCATAGCTCCTGTCTGTTGCTGTGAGCGGGTTTCGATCGCAGCTGAAAATTACAACTGCATGTACCATGGCGTCTCGCCAGCTAAGAATCTAGCTGTCTGTTCTCCCTCGCTGAGCAGCCTTTTTGGAAGGTTCACACGTAGCTCCTGTCTCAGTTCATGTTACTTGGCAAGGGTCATCTGCTCACAAGATTATCGCCTCATATCTGCTCGTCGTCGTTGCACCATGCTGCAGAGCCCGGCGCACGTGGTTCTCTCACCTCAACTCCGTGACCCTTTTGCTGCTGCCGCCCTGAGGTACATTTTGATTGCACTTGGTCCGGCTCTGGCTTTGGAAGTCCGTCCCTCTCTTGAGAGGTCAAGTAAGTTCTCCTGATTGAACATGCTTCAAGCAGAGGGACTTCAACTCAGCTCGCATTGCAGCCTCCAAATAGCCATCGTGTTGACCCATGATAGTTCGTCCCAGAGTACTAGAGCGATACACACGTGATGGTTTCGTGTATGCATGCTCCATGATCTCACACCCTCATAAACCCCTCATCTTTTACACCTATATCCTAGACACCACTTTCTTGAGCCCCGACGGAACTATGAACTCTACTCTTCATATTCACTCTGACAGACTCTCTTCTCCCACTCCACTTTCACATATGCGCGTCTGTCTTTTGAGCCGACTCAAAAGTTCATCTTTTGTATCGACTAAAAAATGCATTCTTCGCCTTCCAATCCACTTTCACAGATGCGCGTCTGTCCACTCGTCAGATCACCGAATCGCCATTTCTCTTCTGCCTCTCTGGTGAGTACCTGGCACATTCCACTCCACTCCTTCCATAGTCGCCCCTGGTTCACTGCTATAATGCTATTAGCCCTAATCACCACCATTGTCCGTTTCCCCCACCATGCCCACGCCTACGTATGTACCTTCCACGTATGCCCCACCGCTCATCTACTTGCGTTATCCCACCACAACCGCACTCCTGACAGCTCATCTGCTGCTGTCCAACCGGGCCCCCCCCACACCCCCCCGATCTGCCTCTTACAACTGGACGATCACTGCTGCATCCATCGCTCTAATGCCATCACTACTCTTCCCTCCCCACTTCCTCCTGCCCTAACCTCCCCTCCTCCTCCTCCTTCCCTCTCATTCTAAGGTCAGGCCTGAGTGAGAAAGTTCCTCTTGGTTGATCTGCCCCTTTCTGAAGATTTGTCTGTTTCTTCTCTTCCCCCCTCCCCCAGGTCAGGCCTGAGTGAGTTCCTCTCTGCTCGCGTCAACTCATCGTCATCATCAACAACACCACCCTTAACGCCACAAGATGCAGCAGCAGTGCAGGCCATTCTCCTCGCTGCACTGCCTGTGTGCCTGTCACATGCCAAGGTGTGTGAACATAGCAAGGTGTGCACACATCACCACCTGCATCACCACCATCAGATGCAGCAGCGGTGGAAGCCGTTCTCCTCGCTGCGCTGCCTGTGTGCCCGTCGCACTCCAAGGTGTGTCAGTGAGCGAAATCCAGATGGCTTCTCAGAGCCACTGCACACACCATAGCAGCACTTCCCACTCTTCCCACACTTCTCACACTTCTCCTCATTTTCTCTGCTGTCTTGTCTCTGGTCCTTCTTCTGTCCCTCGTCTTCAATAGTCCACCCCTGTCTGTTCCCCCCTCTCCTCTACCCATCCCTGCACTGCAGGTCAGCACGGCTGGGCAGAGTGGCACAATGGCGGACGAGGGAGAGGAGGAGGAGGAGGAGGCAGAGGGCGATGCAGCAGAGGAGGACCAGGGGGAGCAGCTGGAGGAGACACTTGTTGAATGCCCAGTGCCCACCCCACTTATGCCTTTTGTTGTTTCCCTTTCCCCTCCCTGGCATGCAGCTCAGCACGGTCGTGCCAGGCGGGGCGATGGGAGACGAGGGGGACGAGGAGGAGCAGGCGGAGGCAGAGGCAGCAGCAGAGGACTACCGGGAGCAGCTGGAGGAGTCGCTGGTGGACGTGATGCGGGCCGTGGGGGCTGGCAACTACCTCTCCACTGTGAGTGCTGTGGTTGAGTTGACTCAAGAAGAGTGTTGTGTCTCTGTGGATTGGGGCAGCAGCAGATGGAAAATAGAGGGCCGAGGCAGCTGCAGCAGAGGACTACCGGGAGCAGCTGGAGGAGACGCTGGTGGACGTGATGCGGGCCGTGGGGGCAGCTAACTATCTGTCCACTGTGAGTGCCGGGTAGACTCGTGCAGTGCTGTGGTTGTTGGTTCTCTTGTGTTGAGGCCGGAGCCTGGAGTTCATCCAAGCAGCAGCAGACGGTGGTGGATGTGCTGGGTTGGTTTTCTGTCCACTGTGAGTGCTGGGTTGACTCGTGCAGTGCTTGCCAGTCCTCCTGCGCTGGAAGGTTTGGAGTCCACTAAGGAGCTGGTGGGTGTGGAGATGGTCGACTAGAGACAGACGGCAGCTGGAGGCGAGCTATCTCGGGGTGTGCGAGCTATCTCGGGGTGTGCGAGCTATCTCGGGGTGTGCGAGCTATCCCGGGGTGGCACACTACCAACACGCTACGTACTGGAAACAAAGGCTATTTCGTGTGTTTGTCGCGAGTTGATTTTCTCTCCTTTCCCCCTTCTAATGCCTGCGGTGACCCATCTTCCTTTCATTCCCCCACATCTCACACACTGCATCCTACTTCTGGCCTCTCTCTTTCCCCCTCCCCCCTCCCCCTCCCTCCCCCCCCCCCCCAATTCCATCTGCCTGCAGGTGGCACCGCTGCTGCTCTCCTCCGCGCTCCCCAACCCCCAACAACTGCTCGCCGACATGCCAGCAGTGGAGCTGCAGCTGTTCGCCTCCCAGGCTGTGAGTGGCGATTTTGAGGTGCCTCAAAACGAAACTGTTCGCCTCCCAGGCTGTGAGTGGCGAGTAGTGATTTCTAGCGCACCTCGGCTCCATTTGCAGCCGAGTGGTACCGAGCCTGGCCCATGAATGGTGGTTCATGACTAGTATCTGGTGGTTCACACGACTAGTATCTGGTGGTTCACGACTAGTATCTGGTGGTTCACGACTAGTATCTGGTGGTTCACGACTAGTATCTACTATCTGGTCTGGCACCCGACTGCTTTGGTTTGGTGTGTGTTATCACATTTGCGTAGTAGCAGTGCATGCATTCACATCATATGCATGCACCCGTGAAAGCCTTTTCTGCCTGCACTGCGCCTGCATGCCTAGGCATACAGATCAGATATTGGTTGCATGTTGTGGCTTCCACTGCTGATGTGGCAGGCTGGCCAGGTGGCGGATTCTGATAGGCCAGAGGACGTGGCATGGGCGTGCCAGGTACTGTCAGCAGTGGCATACATCGCCTCAGGTGTTGCTGAGTCCGCCCAATCGAGCATTCCTCCCCGGCTACAGCCATGGGTGAGTGGGGCTACAGCCATGGGTGAGTGGGGCTACAGCCATGGGTGAGTGGGGCTACAGCCATGGGTGAGTGGGGCTACAGCCATGGGTGAGTGGGGCTACAGCCGTGGGAGAGTAGGGCTACAGCCATGGGTGAGTGGGGCTACAGCCGTGGGTGAGTAGGGCTACAGCCATGGGAGAGTAGGGCTACAGCCATGGGTGAGTGGGGCTACAGCCATGGGTGAGTAGGGCTACAGCCATAGGTGATCGGGGCTCCAGCAAAGCAAAGCAAAGTACGAGAAAGTACGAGCAAAGCAAAGCCCCTAAGTAGAAGCTCAGCATCCATCAAACCGAACTCTAGGTTATCTCCACCCTGGTCAACCCAAAATTTCGGGGACCAATCCAGGCCATCCTGGTAAAAACCGAGAGGCCACGTCTTCAAACCTCGAGGGTGTCTTGAAAGGTAGTTGGGCTCGATCCTTCGCCAACAAGCAGCTTCGGAAGCAGCGCGGGCAGCAGTCGCTTTAGTAAGATACCCAATCCTCCAAGCAACAGACATTCTCTCTATAAAACATCCATGCTTGAGGAGTCTATTATTGAGGCGCCTCAAAAATAGGCTATGATGTGCACACACACACACACATCCACATACAGACAGCATGGTACTCCTCTCTTTTCTCCCTCTGCCTTTCTAGATTGAATTTCTCTTTCAGCTTTTATCATGGCTGGTCGTACATCCAATCACATGCCCCCATCTCATGCCCCCGTCACATGCCCCCGTCACATGCCCCCATCACATGCCCCCATCACATGCCCCCATCACATGCCCCCTTCACATGCCCCCTTCACATGCCCCCTTCACATGCCCCCTTCACATGCCCCCTTCACATGCCCCCTTCACATGCCCCTTTCACATGCCCCCGTTATCCTGCCTTCTAGGTGCACCGTGCTATAGCAGCCAATGTGTTGGCGTACCTCTCCTTCCTCCCTCGGGTTCCTTCCATCGTCCCTGCCTTGCTGTACGCCCCTTACCTCTCTGCACTTGCTATACGCCCCTTGCCTCTCTGTACTTGCTGTACGCCCGTGTGTTTGATGCCCTGCTGTACGCCTGTGTGTTTGATGCCCTGCTGTACGCTGCTTCATTTTATGCTCATTCAATCCTCCTGCCCAGTTGTATTTTGAGACCTCCTGCCTCCCTCCTGCCTGCCGTCCATTCTCTAAAGCACCGCCTCCATCTCAGCTATCTGAACGTTCTGCGTGCGTAACCCTCTCACTTCCTGCCGTCTTCCTCCCCCTAACCCCCAATTCCAGCCAATCGTTGGCACACGGGCTGGTCCCGCCTACCTCTCAGGGAGCCAGCGCAGCAGGAGCAAGGCAGGCAGCCACTAGGAGCAGCAACAGCAGCAGAGCAAGTGAGCAGGCCACCTCTGCCTGCGCTGCTGCTCTCTGTGCGCTGTGTGAGGCCCACAACACCTCTGCATCAACTGCTGCTGCTGCTGCCTCAGCGTCCTTGAATGAGGGCTTGGTGGCTCAGCTGGTGGCTGTGGGCGAGGTAAGGAAGGATGACTCACCTTCGTTCGATTTTGTCAGGTTGTTCTTGACTCAATGAGGACAAGATCGTATCTTAGTACCCTCTACTCTACCCTCTACCCTCCAACGGATCCGGCACTTTTTCCTTGTGCCTGTACCCTGTCTAACCTCCCACATCCGCTCCCCCCCTCCACTGTTAAGTCCCCCTATCCCCCTACTTCCACCCCCTCCCCACCCCCCTCCTCCCCCCCCTTCAGAACCTGCACCTGTCGCGGCTGCAGCCGAAGCAGGAGGCAGATGTCATCACAGCAGTGGCTTCAGCCGTCTCCTCCCTGCCGCCCGCCCACCAGCTGCTGGCGCTGCAGCGGCTGCTGCACCCCGTGCTGGCAGCGCTGCAAGCACTGGAGGTAATCACTTGCGCATCGCTGGTAAAGCTCTGCAGGCTGCTGGTGGTAGAAAGGTAGCCTACCTAGTGTTGGGAGGATCAAGGTGTGGGACCCAGCGACTGCTGCAGCCCATTCTGGCAGCGACTGTGCGGTACAGTACTGCGCAGTGCAGCGCTGCGCTGCAAGCACTGCCGGTGGGTGTCATGTCAACACACTGAACGTGGACATGTCAGACCCCTCGTCTTACAGTGGAGTCATTTTGTAGAATTCAAAAAAATGTCATTCCCTCCTCCCCCGCCCACCCCACCCCACCCCACGCTGCTGTCTCCCTGGCCAGCAACAACCGTCCAGCAGAAGCCTCTGTGAAGCGGCTGCATGCTCCTTCACCCGGTGAGCAGTTCCCCTCTGCCGCACTGCATGCCGTCTGCCCCATCGCATGCCATTCTTTTCACTCACCGTCACTTGAGACAGAGAGATTCGACCCTCCACTCCAGTTCTTAAAACCCGCGTGCCAAATTTCCCCAAATTGCCTCGACCTTCCTACCCTTGGTTGGTAATTCCCTAGAAGCACAACCTGAGAGCTAATCAAACACAACCAACTTTCGTACCGTTGAACTACTAGGCACGCGGGTTTTAACGCGTCTCGAAGGCAGACTCGGAGGCTCGACGCTCAAATCCTGCACCCCCGGCTTGTTCCTGTTTGGGATGTGTGGACTTAGTCCCCACCCTCAAGTCCGTGCTGTACCCGAACCCCCGGCCTCCCAGGCTGGCCCTTCTCTTGGAGCACATCCGCTTACCATCACCTGAGACTCAGAGGCTCGACTCCCAACTACTGCAGTGCCTACAGCAGCTGCCACCCTCGCTACAGTCACCAGAACTGCAACAGCAAGCAGGGGCGCAACCAGGGGCGCAACCAGGGGCTGACAGGACTCGGGGCGGGGAGGGCAGTGGAGCGATCCAGGCGTTCCTGCTGGCTGCCTGCTGGCCGCACCTGCAATTCCTCCTCTCCCTCCCGTCCTCCTCCTCCTCTTCCGCATCTGCTCCCTCGCTTGATCGGGACGCTCTCACCACTGCAGTGGCTGCTGCTGCGCGCTGCCTCTCTCCGCTGGCCACGCTCTCAGGTCAGCGTGACTGGCCTCCCTTTTAGACGGGCTCACCGCTCATCTATTTTGCAGGGTGTTTTCGAGAATTCTAAAAAACACAGCTGCAGTGGCTGCTGCTGCGCGCTGCCTCTCTCCGCTGGCAGCGCTCTCAGGTGAGCGTGACTGGCCTCAATTTAGACAGGCTCACCGCTCATCTATTGCCCTGTTTTTGTCGCGCCTCAATATTAGGCTCTCAGGTCAGCGAGGCCGGCTTGACTTGGACAGGTTCGCACTCATTTATTGCCCTGTTTTTTATGTACCTCAAGCGCCTCAAGACTAGGCTCTCAGGTCAGCATGGCTGGCTTCGCGTAGACAGGTTTCGCGACTCATTCATTGCACTGCTTGTTTTCTTCCTCGGCTCTTTTGAGATGTCTCAAAGCACAGCTGCTGCGAGTCACCTCCCCCCCCTCCGTCATCTCTTCCCTCCCCCACACCTCTTTCCCATCCCGCCAAGCCCATAGGTGATTTTTTAGTCGACTCAAAGATCGCCTACAAAAATCACCTTTCGAGTCGACTGAAAAATCACCTTTCCCGCCTCCGTCATCTCTTCCCTCCCCCACACCTCTTTCCCACCCCCCAGGCCCATCCTTCCTGCCATACCTCCATCCCGCCCTCCCCTCTCTCCAGTCCGCCTTCTCTGCTGCTAGCCCCCGCCCTCCCTTAGTCAAGCTGTCGTTCTCTCCCTCCCTTCCCCCTAATATCCCATCCCCCCAGGTCCAGCCTTCCTGCCCTACACCAACCCCGCCCTCTCCTCTCTCCAGACAGCTTTCTCTACTGCCGGTCCACCACCCTCCCCCCTCTCCCTCTCCGCCTGTCCCTCTATCCTGCGAGCCGCTGAGTCCCTCCTTTCCTTACAAGCACACGCCACCGCGGACCACCTCCAGGTCAGCGCGGATCAGCTCCAGCTCAGCGCGTCCCTCGCCACGTCTGCACTGGTGTCCTTCGTATCTGCCCCTGCCTGCACCGCTCTCAAGTCCCCCAAGGGCGCGGAGCAGCATCCTGACATCACAGAGGCGCTGCTGCACTTTGCCTCGTCTCTGCTCTCCCTCGTGCCTCCTTCGCACCTGGTGAGGCACTCACTCCCATACATGCTCCGTCTGCTCTCAAGTCTCCCAAGGGCCGAGGGCGCAGAGCAGCACCCGGATGTCACAGAGGCGCTCCTCCACTTTGCCTTGTCTCTGCTCTCCCTCGTGCCTCCTTCGCACCTGGTGAGGCACTCTCTTGCATGCACCGCCTCCTCTCAAGTCCCCAAGGGCGCGGAGAAGCATCCTAACATCACAGAGGCGCTTCTGCACTTTGCATCTTTGCTGCTCTCCCTCATGCCTCCTGCTCATCTGGCGATCCCTGCTACTAGGCCTAGAAGGCTCAAGATTGCAAAGTGCATGCACGCATCTGGTGAGCTTGCACCAGTGTTGCATGCGCCAAAAGATACCCCCCTGCCTGCGCTGCTCTCAAGTCCCCCAAGGTCGCAAAGCAGCGCCCCACGGCATCTGCTGCTCTCTTCTCCGGCATTCTATCACCCCCCTCATTCCCCTTCCCCTGCAGGCGTCCGGCCCTTCATCGCCCGCCCACCTGTTAACGGTGGCAGCAAGGGGCAGCGTGGCCCCTCCGATCCCTTACTGCAATCTGCACCTTAATCCTCTCCTCCCCTTCTGCCCGCTTCCCCTGCAGGCGTCTGATTCCTCGTCGCCCGTTCTCCCACCCCTGGCGCACCTCTTGGAGGTGGCAGCAAGGGGATGCACTGCTGCGCACAGGGGAGTCTCGTCCTCCTCTTTCTCCTTCATCTCAGGTTGCAATGCAAAGGCTTCCTCGCCCCCCCCGTCTTCTCTGTGCATGCCACGTGTCTCATTCCCGCCCTCACTCCCTTCACTGCCCCCCCCCCAGCTGCGAGGAGTCTTTTTTTTAGGCGCCTCTAAAATAGATTCGTTCCAGCCCTCGTCCCTTTACTGCTCCCCCCCCCAGCCGCGTCTCCGGCCTTTTGTTTCTGACATCCCACCCCTCACTCTTTCTTCTTTCACTAAGCTCTTTCTTCTTTCACCATGCTCTCTTTTTTCCCACCCTGCTTAAGGAGTGCTCTGTTCTCTCGCCACATGTCGACTATTAGAGCACCTAATACCTGAGCTTGACTCTTACCCTCTGGTAATTTTTGAGTCGACTAAAAAAGCTTGACTCTTACCCTCTCTTGGTTTTGTTTTCTCTTTGTTTTGATCTTCTTTGTCACCTGCATTCCGTCCGTCTCTTGCCCGCCCTCTATTGTCACACACACTCCAGCCCTCATGACAGCAGCCACGCAGCAGGCATCATCACCCTCATTACAGTCACAGCCACAGTCACAGTCGCAGCAGGTTGCCCCCTTGGTGCAGCTCTGCACGGCACACGGCCCTCTGCTCTCCCACGCACTCGTCGCTGCCCTACTGGGGCCAAACGCGGTGTCCCGGGTAAGTGCAATTAGTGCTATGACGCACGCTCAGGTATGTGCAGAGCAAACTGCACTGTATGCAGCCGTGGGAGCCTGCCTTTGAGGCGCCTCGAAAGCGCGCTTGGGTACGTGCAAAGCAAGCCATGCACTGCATGCAGCCCTTGCAGCTGTGGGAGCCATCCAGCTTCGGCAGCTCTGCATGGCTCACGGCCCTCTGCTCTCCCTTGCACTCATCGCTGCTCTGCGCGGGCCAAACGCGGTGTCCTGGGTACGTACACTATCACTGGCATGCGCACTACTAGCAATGTGGCACGTGGGGGCAATGTAGTTGTTGGACCTGTGGGCACTGCACGGCACACGGCGCACGGCACACGGCACACGGCACACGGCCCTCTGCGGTCCCATGCCCTATTTGCTGCTCTGCTGCTGGGCCCGAACGCTGCCTTTTGGTCATGCTGGGTGTGCACAGTGTGCCCTGCTCACTCACTCACACAGTCACACTCTGACCATTGCCCTGTGGCTCAAGGGGGGTGCTCTGGTAACTCTCTCCTCGTCCTCCCTCTCTCCCTCTCCCTGTCACCCCCCCCCCCCCCCTCCACTCCAGGTGCAAAAGTGCGTGACTCTGCTGCAGCAGCTGTTTCACGTGTGCTGCTGCGCGGCACAGGGAGCCACACCTGGAGCAACAGCAGCACAGGCAGCAGCGCAGGCAGCACTTGCACCGATGCACCAATGGCTTGTGGCAGCGGTGGGTAGCTGGCTCGGAGGTTTAAGAACTAGGGTTCACAGTGTGCCATAGGTGTCCCAAAGCAGTCGTCAAGTCGTTTCTGGAAGCAGTGAATGCGTTGACTAGTTGACCTTTGAGTCGACTCAAAAGTCACCTACTAGTCAGTCTATTACGGTGTTTTGGGGGAAGAGTCGGCTCGGCTCATTTTGAAAGTGCAACCGTTTCGTACCAAGTTATCCTATTCCACCCTCATTTCCATGCCACACTACTATTCCACACTCGTTCGCACACCACTCTCCCATTCCATACACTCATTTCCACACCAGTCCCATTCCATAAACTCATTTCCACACCACAGTCCCATTCCATACACTCATTTCCACTCCCCACCTTCCATCCAACCCCATTTTTTTCCCTTGCCGCATGCCACCCCTCCTTGCCGCATGCCAGCACTCCTTGCCGCATGCCACCCCTCTTCTGACTCACACCTCTCACAGCTCCCCGCCCTTCCTCTGGGCCTCCTGAGAGCAGGAGAGGCACAGGCAATCCCTCCCAGCTTGGCTCGCACAACGCTCCCCTCTGCTCTCCTTTTGAGGCGCCTCAATAGTCGACTCCTCACGCTTGGCTCACACTACTCTCCCCCAACTCTCCCCTCTGCTCTCCTTGTCGCCTGCCACACCCGGCCTATTTTCCTTGCCTATTTTCCTTGCCTATTTTCCTTGCCTATTTTCCTGTTATCCCATATCCCCCACACCTGTCACAGCTCTCCGCCCTTCCACCTGGCTTCCTGAGAGCGGGAGATGCAGAGGCGATCCTACCGCTCTCACACAACCCCTCCCTCTCCCCCCTTGCTCCATGCCACAACCCGCCCATCCTTGCCAATGCTGCCCTTACTGCACCTGCTACAGCTATCCTCCCTCCCTCCCGGCTTCCTGAAAGCGGGAGAGGCAGAGGCGATCCTCCCAGCTTGGCTCACACAGCTTGCATCTGCTCCACCGGCTCTCACGCCCTCGGCCAATGAAGGCGAGCGAGGCAACACCCGCATGTTGAGACGACTGCTGAGGAGCTTTGCGGATTCGCACAGGCATACAGCTGTTGGTGCGTGAATGTGTTACGGGAAGCATCGGAGCTTATGAGTTATATGTATTGTGCTTGCTGCGGAATGCAATATTCCAAACGTAACTCTTGCAATTGAGGCAGCATGCGATATATTATTCATGTCAGAGTTAATGGGCAACGCTCCAAGCATGGGGGGTTTGAGCAGGCAGCAATGAAGGAAATTGCATCCAGTACCTGCAGGTGACTGATGGTAAGAATATGCTGGTGAAAAACAGCTGGTGGCGGACATGCCATTTTGAAGCCTGAAATCATGGATGGTTGGAGCTAGTAGATGTTACGCTTATATATATGTTGCACCCATAAAAGCACTATTCGTCACTATCCCATTTCAGTCACCCACCGTTATTGTATCGGGATATCGTCGTGCAGCACCAGGTCGGCTCAGGTCGCAACAAGCGTCAGTTGCGGCACCCCTGTTACGTGCCAGGGGCATCGGCCAGTCACGCGAGAGTGTGGAACTGTTCACGAGCCAGATCCAGGGTTCGTGCAGCGCGCTTCGGGGTGAGGGGGCACCAGCTGCGGTAGAATCGCCACGTGGAAACTTTTCCCTTCCGAGGCGTTCCACATTCCAGGAACAAGGGTGCTTTGCGGGGCTTACATCGAGCCGCATGTTTGGCGCAAGCCGGTTCAACGCGGAAAGGCGCAATTTGGTTTTGACTCGCCTCGCCTTGCCCATTCCCCTTCCCCCGCCGATGCCTCCCCACTCCACACCTCCCAACTCCACCCCTCCCCACCCCACCCCAGCTTTGCGCGCAAGTCATCATCAATCGAATAATCGAAATCATCACCACACCACCAAAACCCATTGCTGTACGCCTCCCCGCATGCCATACCCATTCCTCCAATCCGCCCCCGCGGAGCTACTACTAGAGAAAACTTCAATTGTAGCACCCCCATTCCTCAGCAAGTGGCTGCTACCGACCTTGCGATTGGCTGTAATAGCGGACCTTGACCCTTTCTGGTCACGGAGCAAAACAGTTGCGTTCGCGCTTGCGCCTCAGAGCAGCGCACAAGCCGCATCGACATAGTTTTTCGAAGCTAGGGAGGTGGTGTCAGAGGACATGCGCCCTTCTTATACTAGACCTACTCTAGTCTTACTGCAGTGTGATAAGACTAGTTTGGCCAGACAGACCGACGAGGTCCATTGATCATTGGAGTCGCAAGCGCAACAGTTAGGACTTCCTAGCCACTCAGGAACCGAGATAACCAAGATTTGATAGCCTTAGTTCTCCAAACAGCAGCTCAGGGAAGAAAGGCCCAAGGATGGAGCGTCAGTTGCCGTGCAGCCGCCATGGGCTGCGTCTCCACTTCCATCACTCATTCTCCTGATACATTTTTTAGAATTCTAAATAACCTAAGATACCTTTTTGAGAATTCTAAGTAACCTATGATACCTGCTTTCACGCTTTCACTGTAGCCGCCGCTGTAGTCCGATAAGAAAAGTCCATCGCTCTTGTCTCCGTCGGTACTTTGCTAATCAAGACTAAGTTCGCGGTAACTAATCCGCAGTACCGATTCCGCGGTAACTCAGACCGAAAGGCCAGAGCTCGAGGAGTAGAAATGGGGGCCGCGGCATCGACAGAGCTGGCAGAGGCGATGCGCGCCGAGCCGGGAGGGATGGGGCCGGTGAAGGGCCCGAGGAAGGGTGGGAATTTGCGGGCGTCGGCGAAGGTGCAACCGGTGTGCGACGACGGGGAGGACGAGGCGATCGAGCGGAAAGCGCGGCAGCTGGAGCAACTGAAGGAGCGCGTGAACGCAGGTAAGGCGCGGCGCGATGACATGCGCGTCAAAGCAGCGCAGTGATCTTTTAGGGTTCCCTCTTCCCACCCCGCTCCCCCCAATTCCCCACCCTCCCCTCCCCTCCCCCTCTCCCCCTCCCCTTCCCACTCCTCTCGCCCCCACATCTTCTCTGCCCCCTTCTTGGCCAGCCATTGCGTCTGGCAGTCGTGTCAAGCAGCTATTGGAGGACGAGGTGCGGCGCAATTCGGAGCTGGCGAAGATTCGTCTACGATTCACCGCGAATGGCGCTCTCGAGCACTGTAGCCTGTTCTCGGAGCACGGCGGCCGGCACGGCTGCAACCAGGACTCGATGATCGCGTGGGAGGTGCGTCACTAACATAGCGTAGTGCTGTTTAGACATCGTTCTCCGAGCACGGCGGCCGGCACGGTCGTAACCAAGACTCGATGATAGCGTTGGACGCGCACCGCCAGTACTCAAGACGTCTATTTGAGATCTTACGTTCTTTTTAAATAGCCCAGATTAGAATAATGCGGACACCGAGTTGTGATGTCACGCCTCTTTCCTCCTTTCCTCCCCACCGCTCTCGACCTCTGCCCTACGTCTCCGTTCTCTTCTCTGCTCCCCGCCAGGATTTCAACGTCCCCGAAATCGCGGGCCGCCTGAACAGGCGCATGCCTCCCGGCGCCGCGTCTGACGTCATTTTCTGCGCCGTGTTCGACGGTCACGGGCCCAACGGCCATCTCGTCTCGCAGCGCGTGCGCGATTCGCTCCCGAGCCGCATCGCTTGCCTCCTCGCGCCGCCTCCGGTTGCAGCCGTGTCGCCTTACGGCCACCTGGATTCCTGCGCGGCGCCAATGGCCCCTGCAAGCGACCAGCTCTTGCAGCGGCTCGGAGTCGGTGCCGGCAGCAGTAAGAACAAAGGCGCCTCGGGCAAGGTTTACCCGCTGGGTGGAGCTCCGGGAAACGCGGAAGGGAGCGGAGGCTTCGGGATGACGTTGCAGCGATCGCGATCCGCCGGTTCGGTGGATTCCTCGGCGGCGGCGGCGGCGGCAAAGGAGGCGTCTCGAGAGGCGTCGAAGGCGCAGGTGGAGCGCGCGTTTCGGCGGGCGTTTCTGGAGATGGACGACGAGCTGAGGAGCCATCCCCACGTGGACGGCCACGTCAGCGGGAGCACCGCCGTCGTCGCCGCGCTGCTGGTGAGTCCCGGTCGCTGTCGGAAGGAGGATACTTTGATTGAGCTCCCCAGCCAGTGCTGGGCGTACAAGCCAGCCAGTGCTGGGCGTACAAGCCAGCCAGTGCAGCAGGCTGCTGCTTTGAGCGTACAAGCCAATGCCTTAAATTCCCGTGTCAAAGGCAGAGCGTAACTGTCAAGCCAATGACAGCGTAATTTGCCAATGTCTGTCCTCTGTCACTCCCTTTCGTTCTCGCCCACCCGCCCGCCCGCACTCCCGCCCACCATCCTCTGCATGATCAGGGCCGTCGGTTGGTGGTGGCGAGTATCGGCGACTCGCGCGCGGTGCTGGCGTACCGTTGCAAGCCGGGCCACGCCAGTCCCGGGACCGCCGCCGCAATTGGCGGCATGCAGTGCAAAACGCTCACCAACGACCACAAGTGCAGCGTCGCCTGTGAGTGCACGGGGGCGGGGGCAGAGCTGGGGGGAAGGGGGGGCAGTGGCGAGTAAGATACAAGCGAGAGAATGGGAAAACGGGGTTTGCGGGGGGAGCGGAGCAATGGCAGCGTCTGCAGCTTTGGGTGGGTGGTTGTGGATTGTTGGTCTGAAGAGAGGTGCCACTGCACCTTCGCCAATGCACAGCGTCTGCAGCTTTGGGTGAGGTGCCGAATCAAGATGTCAGGTTACTTGGTTAGACCAACGACCCACAACCACACGGCTTTGGCCTTTTTTCGTCTTCGCGACGGATCCAGTTACTTGGTTAGACATGCTCGAGCTCAGGCAAAAGGTTGGGGGTTTTCGCTACACCTGGTTTAGACTCCTCGCCTTTCTTTTCGCTTCTCTTCGTCAATTGCAGCTGAGCGAAAGCGCATTGAGCAAGCGGGGGGTCGGGTCCAGGCGTCGGAGCATGAACCAGGGACGCCACGAATTTGGTTACCGCGCGAGCGAAGCCCCGGCCTGGTCCCTTCACGAGCGTTCGGCGATTTCGTGGTGAAAGATTACGGCGTGATTGCCGAACCTGACATCTTGATTCGGCACCTCACTTCGGAAGACGAATTCATTATCCTCGCTTCAGACGGAGTGAGTTTCATTATGGTGCCGTTTTACCTTCAGTTGCAGCTGGTTCATTCGCCTTGATACATGAGAGTCAGAGAAACTAATTTCTGTCACTTTCATGTTTAACCCTTTCCCTTAACCCTTTCCTCTTTGTTTCCCTTCTTCCCCCCTTCCATTTCCTTGGATCATGCAAATCTGTGCAACATCCATATCCCCCCCAGCATGTACCATCACTAGTAGGTCACTACTTCCCCTCTCTCCCCTTCCTCCCCTATCCCCCCTCCAGCTTTGGGACGTCATGACCCCTCAAGACGCTGTGTCAGCAGTCCTCGCCGCCCCAACCCGCCAGACCACCGCCCGGCACCTCATCGCGCAGGCTCGCAGCCTCTGGGCGGCAAAGCACCAGTCGGTCAGGCCTGACGACTGCACCGCTGTTGTCCTTTTCCTCCCTGACTTCGCCCCCTCGGGCCTCCTCTCTGGCTCTAACTCTGCCCTGCCGCACTCTGGTCCTCTCTCCTCTACTCCTTTCTCCGGCCCTCTCTCTTCCTCCACCCCGTATTCTGGTCCTCTGGCTTCCATCCCTCACTCTGCTCCGCTCTCTAGCTCCCCTGCCTTGGGCCCTCATGGCAACTCCCTGCTTCATAACCAGCAGCAGTCCTGGCATCATCATCATCAGCAGCAGCAACAAGGTTGGCAGCAGAAGCAGATTCATCAGCAGCAGCAGGTGCAGCTGCCACCTCGGCAGTTCCTCTCCCAGTTGCCCATGCCCCTCCCTAACCTAACCTCCACTGACATCAAACCAGTTGTCCCCGTGCCTGGCTCGCAGCATCGGCTTCCGGAGCAGAGAGGCTTGGGAGAAGGCTCTGTGGGGCCAGGTTCGGAGAACAGGTGGGAGGGGAGGGGGGGAGCAGGAGAGGCTGGGGAAGGGAGGAGGAAGAAGAGTGGGAGGAAGAAGGGAGGACGGAGGGAACCTGGGCTAATGTCTCTTATGGGAGCAGTGGAGGAAGGAAACGAGGAGGCTTTTGACGATACAGCAAGCATAGGTACAGTGTGCACTGATGCGTCGTTTGGCACAGTCATCTATTCCGAGGCAGACTATAAGGCGTCCCAAAACGCAGCATCATCGAAGCTGAATCCACCCGTGGTTCCGCTCACCCCTCAAGTGGTGCTAGCGTGTGAGGATGGGTTTTATCGTGACGACACTATCAGGCTGCCAGTGGAGCTGCAGAAAGGGGGGCTAGAGAAGGAGAATGTGGGGGGGAATAAGAGTGGAGTGACTCAGGGCACAAGCAGTCAGGACAGCAGCAAGTGTGACAGCAGCAGTACCAGCAGCAACAGCAGCAGCAGCAAAGAGGAAGGGGGAAAGCAGGGTGGCATTGGAGAGACTGGACGAAGCGTTCTTGGGCTGTTCTACAATGGGGGATCAGTCGCTTCCTCTGCCTCTGCCTATTCCTCCCTCAGCAGCTCCAAGGTGGCGCCACTGCTGCCTGAGGACCACACCAACAATGCCATCGCTAGTAGCCTCACTCTGCCGCCCCCTGGCAATGCTGCTCCTGTCAGCATTTCTATATGCACGGCTGATGCGAAACTTGTGGCGCCTGAGGCCAAGGTCATGGCTCCGCCCACGCGCTCCCGGAGTCTCACTGCCATGTCGACATGCATGGGCGGCGGCATGGATGGCGCGGATGGCGCGGACGGCATGGATGGCACAACGCATGGCACCATCCCTGGATGTGTCGGCAGCGGGCATGGGTGCATGAGTGCCAGGCTGGCTGACTGCTATGTCAGTCTGGAGAGTGGGGTTGCTGGAGAGGGAGGGACTGGGCAGGGGGGCGAGGAGGTGGGGAGCAGGTGGGAGAGCGGCAGTGGAGGGTGCGGAGCGGCAGCCCGATATGCCATGTCACGCCTTGGCCTGGACATTTTCTGGCAAAAGTGCTGCCGTGCAGAGCCCTGAGCCCCTTGGGTGAGAGCTTGTAGGGGTCTCAAGTGCAGGGGCGCAGCGTGCTGAGTGTCGTGTGGATGCCCAGCGCTGCTGCTGCTGCTCAGAGCCCTTGGGCCGTCTGTGGTAGGGATTGTCTGGGTTCAGAGCCCTTAGCATATCTGTTTGGTCGAGAATGCGGATCACAGATTTGACTGATGTGCCTCACCTGCAGCTGAGTTGCTTGCAAGTGCTGGCAGGGAGAGCCTTCAGTCAATGGTGGTGCTGCTAGTTGGAGACACTGCCTGTGCCAAGCTTCCCTCTTCCACTTCATCTTCCCATCTGCCTGTCCATTCCTAACTACTCCGTTCGTCCTCCTCTTCCTCTACTTATCCCCTTCTCTCAACCCTTCTTGGTATCTAAACTGGACTGAGCTCTCATGGGATATTGGACCCCCAATGGCAACAAATTCTACTTAGTCTAATAAATATACTGTAATCCCCTGGATAGGGTACGGTACAAAATTCATGCAAAATCAGGGGGTGGGTGCTCTATTTTGTGTTAAGGCTATAGCACCTTGGTGTTATATTTGAGGACAGGAATTTTAAGACGTGCATTAGACTCACCGTGTCATGGTGATTTCAGCCATCCAAATGTTAGAATAACAGAATGACTAGAAATGATGGATACAGAGGAACATATGGTTGGGTGTTGTACTTGAATAATGAGTTCAAGACAAGAGTACAAGGGTATATGACCTAAGCGTTGTACCCTCTAAGGCACAAACCAATACAGTCTATACAAACATAACAATATATGTTTGACACACCCCCTAGACTGCATAGGTGCAGTTACTGACGTAAGCACGAGCAACTCAGGGTGGCACTACTAGTCCAACCTCTGAGGCAAGGGTCTAAAGACCAGTCAAACGAGTACAGACCAATACAAGAGCAAGGCCGGGCGGCACTACTAGTCCAGCCACGGGGAGAGGCCACAAGCAGGGCTGATTTTATCAGACTATTTTAGTCTGATTGTCTGAAATTTCAGACCCATTTTTTTGCCAATCCTGATTTTTCAGACTTAGGCTTTTCTGGATACTGAACCCTTCAGACTTGTAAGATTTTGGATCCTGAAGTTTTCAGAGTAGTCGTTGTACGGATACTGAGGTTTCAGAGTACATCGCGTATGGACTCTGAATGCGACATCCATGCACCTTGTACTTTCCACGAGATTTCCTCTACTACGTCATATGTTGCCTTCATCATTTCACCCCCGCACGTCTCACGTGAAGTATCTGCACTTGGCAGGATTCTCGCCCCCTCTGTGACTGTGATGCTGCCTCAACAGGGACTTTGCCGCTCAGCGCGTCATGCTTCCTGCCACGCGTGCGACCTCTACGTGGGTGTGTTGGAAGCCATCAAAGGTTGGTAACGCGGGATTCTTGCCCTCGCTGGCATGTGCAAAACTTTCCGACCGACCGTGATTGGCGACAGTCCATGCCAACACATGGTTCGTTCGTAACGTCAGCTCATGTTTGGCATGGCGGCGCGGGTTTGGAAGGGGCTGCCATCCAGAAGCTGACGACGGCCGTTAACCAAGAAACACGCGCCTCGGGCTTGATGGTGCCCTTCTTCTTCGTCCCTCTCATCCCTCCCCCTCCTCTCAGGCGCACTCAGGCTTTTACACGGGGTTTGTAAATCTTACTCGTCAATTCGTGTTTCGTTGTTCTCGTCCTCACGTAGGTTCTCGTTTGTCGACCCCGTCAACAGCCATGACGGGGACTCCTGCAGAAGAAGACGATGAGCCCAGCGCCGATGAACCACCTCGTAGTAACGAGCCTGCAGAGGTTCGTCGCTCTGCGATAGACATACTGCGGTCGTTAGGTTCTCCTCCCGTCGTTGCTGTTGTGGTTTCCTCCGTAGCGGAGGAAACCCAGCCTGCTCTAAACCCACCCCCGTCCGCGCCCTTCGTGCCACCACCATATGTCCCTCCGCCTGCCGTCGCCTCATCCAGCAGAGGCCCGACTCTGCCCGTTAAGTGCGTCACCGCCACCACAGTCCGCTACAGCGTGCCCTGCGCGTCCACGATTTCGTCTGCGAAGAAACAACGGACGGGCAAGTACACCCAGTCTCAAATCATGATCGGAGGTAGGCTCCGCCGCCCATCCACGCCGCCATCACCTAGTGCAGTCCCTGCCGTCGTTGAACCGCCACCGCCAAAGCTGAGTAAGAAGGAATTGATAGAGCAGAAATACCTCGTCGCTGAAGCAAAGTACAAAACTTCATGGCTGCCTTTCTTTCCATGGCTAGTGCTGACCAAAACAAAAGACGGCCACCCTTCTCTCAAGTGCAGTGTGTGCATGACGTTTGGCAAGGAGACCACCAAGTACAGCTCTTCGGGCGATGGTGGCCGAGACCTGCAGACACAGACCATGCGCATACACGAGCACTCTTCTGCACACAAGGAAGCTGTGGATGCCCAGCTGAAGATTGCCGACGACATCGCCGATGGGCAGAAGAGGATGGACGACTATTTGTCGTCGGATGTCGAGGGGAGGCGGGTCGTGCGACTGCTCCGCGCTGTTGAGTTTCTCTGTAAGGTCGATGCTCCCATCAGCATGTTTCCTCGGCTATGTCGCTTTATGGCTGAGCAGGACACCCCGGACCTACCGCTCCAGTCTTACGGTGTTTATCTCACTCGGTAAGTACCGGCGACAACATTCCATTAGTCTTCTCCGTTGGTTTTTTTTAACAATTACTCTCTCTTCTGCATGCAGGTACGGCTTTCAACAGATGGTCCACTGCTTGGCGACTCTTCTTCAACGGACCCAGATGCAGCACATTCAATCGTCCCCGTTCATCGGCATCAGTTGCGACGAGAGCACTGATCGTACTAGAGGGAAGCACCTGATAGTGTACCTCACGTTCCTGCGCCATCGCCGCGTCGTCACCGAGTTTTTCTCGTTGCTCACCGTCGAGAAGTGCGACGCCGCCTCCCTGCTCTCCGTGCTTCTCACTCATCTTCAAGGCGCCGGCATCGAACTGAACCGCATCGCGGGAATCAGCACCGATGGCGCTTCCGTCATGGTTGGTCGTGAGAACGGTCTCGTGGCGCGGCTCCGCGAGCACATCCCTCACCTTGTGTCGTCCCACTGCATCGCCCACCGGTATAAACTTGTTATGTTATGTTGTCGCTTTTTTTTTTTATTCGTTTACTAATCTTTTCACATGCACTGTGCGCAGGGAAGCTCTGGCTGTGAAGGACGCCGCGTCTGCCTGTCCAGACTTGGACATGGTCGACAAGGTTATCCGAACTCTGGCCGATCTCCTCGGCCGTTCAAGCGTGTGGAGCCAGCGGTTCAAGTACCTTCAGCGTGTCATCCACAAGACCAACCTTGAAGTTCAAGGAATCCACGCGATTCGGTGGTTGTCCAGGGGCGAGGCAGTCAGACGCCTCTGTAAGGTCCTTGGTGCGGCCATCGTTTTACTGTACGAGTATAACCATGAGCTGTACGAGGTTGTCATCTCATACAAGTTTCAGTTTTGTCTCTTCTTCCTGGCGGACGTCCTCGCCATCATGAACGAGCTCAACCTCAAGTTTCAGAAGCGAGAGGTGAGCCCTTGCATGTGAGGTTGTGGTATGTTCTTTCACAATCAGCACTAACATTCTCCCCCTTGATTTGCGCCCCCCTGTTTCCACCACCCCTCCCCCCCCCCCCCCCGCCCGACCGCAGGTGGATGTTACCGTGATAACACAGGACGTCGACGAGGCGGTGGGGGATCTTCGGCACCGCTACTTGGAGTGCGGCGGGGTTTTCGGTGCGGGCGTAAGCGGCACGTGGCTCTCGGCTTTCTTAACCGTGTACGGGCGAGGGGGGGCGAAGAAAGTGAAGGTGCGCGGCGTCGACAAGGACGGGCAGCCGGTGACGCACACGTACCAGATGCACGAGCGGCAGATCAAGGGGCACGTCTACCAGAGCAACTACCGGGACTGCGAACTGTTATGCGCGAAATTCGCGAGGGGGAGCGTGATGAACCTGCTGGAGCGGCTGGACGACCTGTCGAAGCTCGGGCCGACGAAGCTGTTTCGGGCGGGCAAGTGGCCGCGGCATCGGATGGTGAGGGAGAAGAAGACGAGAGAGTATCTCCATGGCTGCAGTGCTATCTTCGACGACAAGCTCCCCGGGTTCGATTTGAAGGAGGCGGAGAAGGAGCTGGCAACTTGGGCCCCGATCATGCAGAACCACCACAACGAGGAGGGCTTCTACCAGGGCCTCACGAATTACCTTGGCAACACGGAGTCAAGCAGGTAAGTCGAGTCTCCAAAGCACGCTGCTGTGTCTGCCTGTGTATGATTGTTTTTGCCAGTTTGATCACGCTAACTGTCTATGTTTGTATCAACTTCTATTGTTCCTTTCCCACCATGCTTGTAGTTTATAATTGATTCTATTGTTCCACGCCTCTTGTGTGTGGTTGTTCCATAAACAGGCACTGGCCCAACCTCATGCTTCTCTGGCAAGCATGCGCGGTGTTACCACTCTCAACTGTGGAGTGCGAGCGTGGTTTTTCCAGGCAGAACGTGATCAAGTCTTGGGTCCGTGGTGCTCTGTGCAATGCCCGCCTGGGTGAGCTGATGATGATTTCGCTGCCGAGATACGACATCAACTGGCAAGAGGCGCTGGAGCTGTGGCACGCAAAAAGGAGAAGACCAGCGAAGTCGGTGGTGTTCGCATCACAAGAGAGGAAGCGCAAAGGCAAGGCTCTGCTGGAAGAGGCAGAGCAGGAACCTCCAGTGCCAGACTACTTAGGAAAGGATTGGGATGAGGAGGAGGAGGAGGAGGGGGAGAGGGATGGTGGAGGTGCAGTAGCTATAGAAGACAACCCCTTTCTGTCGGATGATGAGGCGGAGGATGTCGTCGCTGTGGATGTGCCAGAGTTCTAGCTAGGCTAGGAAATTAAACTAGGTGTAGGTTAACTGCCCGAATGTTATTAAAAATTGGCGACTAAATGGTAAAATCACGACTCTGATTCATACTTGCGAACCCTGAAGAAATCAGACTTGAAAGTTACTGGATCCTGAGAAATCAGACTACCAGGAAAACTGAAACCTGACTACTCAGACTTGGGAAAAAATTTTGGGGCTAAAATCAGAGTGGGTTTTTTTGAAACGTCAGCCCTGGCCACAAGGCCAGTCAAGAGTAAAATATATATAAAGGTCTGTACAGAGTCAAGGCCCTAACAGGTGAGAGGCTACAGGAACGAGACCTAGCTGTATACAGTGTCGCTGATGATCTTTAGGCGAAAGCGCCTTCGTAAAGATATCACCAGAGGCCAAGTGTACTACGCGGGCCTGGCGACGCTGCTGTAGCTCATGCAGGAGGAATCGGCGTAGATCTCGGCCTCACAGCTGGACTGAGCAACAGACGAGGAGCGAGTAGCTCTCCACGAGACAGCACCTGAACCAAGGCTAAAGCAGTAGCCCTGCGAGGACCTGAGGGTCTCGGCGTCGTCTGCCCAAGAAGCGTCTGTGTGCCCAGTAAGGACCACTGGCCTGCGTCCTCCCAGCACTAACCCCATGCCTGATGTACTCGCGAGATAACGCAAAACCCTCTTAGCTACGGACTAGTGCTGAGGT